ATTTCTGTCAATATGTGGATAGGCTGACTAGAGGGGAGGCCATATTGGATTTGGTGCTTGGCAATGAACCAGGTCAGGTGTCAGATCTCTCAGTGGGAGAGCATTTCGGCGATAGTGATCACAACTCCCTGACCTTTACCATAGTCATGGAGAGGGATAGGAGCAGACGGTATGAGAAAGTATTTAATTGGGGGAGGGGGAATTACAATGCTATTAGGCAAGAAATATGGAGCACCAATTGGGATTAGATGTTCTCAGGGAAATGCACAATAGAAATGTGGAGTTGTTTAGGGAGTAGTTGCTACAGATACTGGATAGGTTTGTTCCACTGAGGCAACGAAAGGATGGTAAGGTGAAGGAACCTTGGATGACAAGACATGTTGAACACCTAGTCAAGAGGAAGAAGGAAGCTTACTTAAGGTTGAGGAAGCAAGGATCGGACAGGGCACCAGAGGTCTACAAGGTAGCCAGGAAGGAACTGAAGAATGGACTTAGGAGAGCTAGAAGGGGGTATGAAAAAACCTTGGCGGGTAGGATCAAGGAAAACCCCAAGTCTTTCTATACTTGTGTGAGGAACAAGAGGATGGCCAGAGGGAGGGTAGGGCCAATCAGGGATAGTGGAGGGAACTTGTGTGTGGAGTCAGAAGAGGTAGGGGAGGTCCTTAATGAATACTTTGCTTCAGTATTCATCAGTGAGAGGTATCTTGACGTTTGTGAGGACAGCATGAAACAGGCAGATATGCTCAAACAGGTTGATATTAGGTAGGAGAATGTGCTAGAAATTTTGAAAAACATGATGATAGATAAGTCCCCTGGGCCAGATGCGATATACCCAAGGTTACTAGGGGAAGCGAGGGAAGAGTTTGTTGCCCCTTTGGCAATGATCTTTGCATCCTCACTGTCCACTGGAGAAGTACCAAAAGATTGGAGGGTGGCAAATGTCATTCCCTTGTTCAAAAAAGGGAATAAGGATAAGCCTGGAAATTACATTCTTACTTCTGTGGTGGGCAAATTATTGGAGAGGATTCTGAGAGATAGTATTTATGATAATTTGGAAAAGCACAGTTTGATTAGAAATAATCAGCATGGCTTTGCGAGGGGCAGGTCATGCCTCACAAGCCTTATTGAATTCTTTGAGAATGTGACAAAACACATCGATGAAGGTAGAGCAGTGGATGTGGTGTATATGGATTTTAGCAAGGAATTCGATAAGGTTCCACATGGTAGGCTCATTCAGAAAGTAAGGAGGCATGGGATTCAGGGAAATTTGGCTGTATGAATACAAAACTGGCTGTCCAATAAAAGACAAAGGGTGGTAGTAGATGGAAAGTATTCAGCCTGGAGCTCGATGACCAGTGGTGTTCCGCAGGGATCTGTTCTGGGACCTCTGCTCTTTGTGATCTTTATAAATGACTTGGATGAGGAAGTGGAAGGGTGGTTTAGTAAGTTTGCCAATGATATGAAGGTTGGTGGAGTTGTGGACAGCGTGGAGGGCTGTTGTAGGTTGCAAAGGAACATTGACAGGATGCAGAGCTGAGCAAAGAAGTGGCAAATGGAATTCAACCCAGAAAACTGTGAAGTGATTCATTTTGGAAGGTCAAATTTGAATGCAGAACACAGGGTTAATGGCAGGATTCTCGGCAGTGTGGAGGAACAGAGGGATCTTGGGGTCCACGTCCATAGATCACTCAAAGTTGCTACCCAAGTTGATAGGGTTGTAAAGAAGGCGTATGGTGTGTTGGCTTTCATTGGCAGGGGAATTAAGTTTAAGAGCCATGAGGTTATGCTTCAGCTCTATAAAGCTCTGGTTAGACCACATTTGGAATATTGTGTTCAGTTCTGGTCACCCAATTATGGGAAATAATTATAGGAAGCTTTAGAGAGGGTGCAGAGGAGATTTACCAGGATGCTGTCTGGACTGGAGGGCAGGTCTTATGAGGAAAGGTTGAGGGAGCTTGGGCTTTTTTTATTGGAGTGAAGAAGGATGAGAGATGACTTGATAGAGGTTTACAAGATGACGAGAGGCATAGATAGAGTGGATAGTCAGAGACTTTTTCCCAGGGCGGAAATGACTGCGATGAGGGGGCATAATTTTAAGGTGATTGGAGGAAGCTATAAGGGAGATGTCAGAGGTAGGTTCTTCACACAGAGAGCGGTGGGCGTGTGAAATGTGCTGCCGGCAGTGGTAGTGGAGTCAGATACTTTAGAGACTTTTAAGCGACTCTTGGATAGGCACATGGAGGATAGTAAAATGTAGGGTATGCAGGGTAGATTGATCTAAGGAAGATAATAGGTTGGTACAACATTGTGGGCCAAACGGCCTGTACTGTGCTGTACCGTTCTATGTTCTATGGAACCGGAGGTATACAAAATCATGAGGAGGATAGGTAGGGTTGATAGAAATAAACCTTTACCCTTAGTAGAGGGGTCAATTACTAGGCATAGATTTAAGGCAAGGGCTGGAGGTTTAGATGGATTCAAGGAGAAATATATTCATCCAGTGGTTGGTGGGTATCTTGAACCATCATAGCATCCCACAGTCCAAAGATGTGCAGGTTAGGTGGATTTGCCATGCTAAATTGCCCATCGTGTCCAGGGATGTTTAGGTTAGGTGAGTTAGGCAGGGGTTGGGGAATGAGTCAGGGTGGGATGCTCTTCAGATGGGCGGTGTGGACTTGTTGGGCCAAATGGCCTGTTTCCACACTGTAGGGATTCTATGATTCTCAGTGTTTAAATGAACATCTGAAGTAACACAGCATACAAAGCAATGAGCCAAGTGCTGGGCAATGGCATTAATTGAGATTAGATAGGTACTTGATGATCGATTCAAAACATAATGGGCCAAAGGGCTTGTTTCTAATCATTTTTCTTTCTTAAATTTTGGCAGGAACAATAAGAGTGAAGTATATATATATTACATAATAATGAGATTGCAGAGTGCTGAGATGCAAGGGGATCGTTCAGTATGCAGTTGCAATGGTTTTGTTTATTGTGAAAAGAAGTGAACACAAAAGTAGGAAGACTATGCTTCAGTTTTATTGGGCATTGGTGAGACTACATCTCAAATACTATTTGCAGTATGTTCTTCTTAATTATGGATATAACTGCTTTTGAAGTAGTTGAGGGGAAGTTTAATAGATTAATGCCTGGAATTGTGAGGTTGTCTTAAGAAGAAAAGGTTGAACAGGCTAGACTTGTAACTACTACAGTTTAGAAGACTAAGGTGACTTGATTGAAACATACAACATACCTGACGGAGCTTCACAGGATGGATGTGGAGAGGGCAGTTCTTCTGGTTGGGGAATTTAGAACAAGGGGTCACTGTTTAAAAATTTGGGGTCACCCAATTAACACAGAGATATTTCTTTTTCTCTGAAGGTTGAGTATCTTTGCAACTCTCTTCCTGAAAAGCAGTGGAGGCAGAACCTTTGAATATTTTAAAGCAGGGGCAAAGAGATTCTTGATAAGAAAGGAGGTGAAAGTTTATTGGGGTAGACTGGAATATAGAGTTCTGGTTAAAATTAGATCAATTTCCTGAAGAGCAAAAGAGGCTCAAAGGGCAAAAGGGCCAAGTGACCTACTCCTGCTCCTAATTGATGTATGCTTACAATATACAATAAGCCTTTTCTTTCTGAATAAAACAAGGAAACGGAAGTATCAATGAGTCTTTAATCTGAAGCATATGTGAGTTAGGATGTTGGAACAGAAGTAAATACTGGGTACTACTGCCAAGTTATGTAGTAAAGAAAGAAGGAACAAATATTTTGAGACCAATAAGAACGGGAAGCATTAAACCTCCTTCATTTCCAAGAAATAAATTTAAATTGTAAAAAAATTGAAATAAACTAGTAAATCACAAGATAGTTTCACGACAGTAGCCATCCTTCTACATGACAGGTGATCCTGCTGCTGGAGAGAGTAACCAGTAAATCGGAGATGTCTCAAAAACAATCAAGGAAGAAACAGATCATATCCATAACATCTAGTGGTTTGCTCCTGGCCAAGTGCCAAAAAGATAATTGAATTTCAGAGCTCCTTTGTTAACTTGTTCTGATTCTATAGCTGCTCAGTCAAATAAGACAAAGACTCAAATCAGTCACTTGGTGCCTGTATTAACTCCTCATTCAGTTTCACACCATAAATATGGTAACAACTGAAACAGATCTAATCTTTTCAAAAAGCAAAGACTAAATTGCCATTGTAACTTTGTACACTTACATATTTATTGACATGTAACACTAATATTAAATTGGCTTGATAAATTTTACTACATGACAATATTTTGAGAAAATCAAGCAACTTACTTTACAGCACACTCAAAAGATAATCTCCCCTCACTGATGGTCTAAAATCAATAGAGCAAACCATCTCACAAAGGAAGTGTACATAGAGTTATACAGTAGTTCATTGGCCCATCTGATCAAGGTCCCATTGTATTCTGAGATAACTTCTCCAGTACACCACCAATTTTGGTGTCACCTGCAAACTTACTAACCACACATTCCTATATTCACATCCAAATCATTTCCATAAATGATGAAAATCAGTGGGTCCAGCACTGATCCTTGCTGCACACTGCTGATCACATCCTCCAAAGAACAATTCATAGTTAGCCCTAAATTAATCCATCATACATTAAAATCAATTAAATAATTTAATTTTTAAATAATCCAATTCCTGAGTGAGAAGCAGAATTTCAATTTGGAGTTAGAACACCAGTACATAATTTGCTTTAGTTTTTAAACAGATCGTCAAAAGTGTTTATGAAAATGTGTTCATGGAATTTAAAGTAGGTTATATGGCCACCTTTAAAACTTCTCTTTTATGCATTTACTCACACAAATTCATATTGGATACCAGAACCTTCACAATTTCAGCTTCTAATCTTTTTTATCTGGAATCGTGTATAGACTAGAATGTCTCCATTCCTTATTGTCAATCTGACTTAATACAAAGACTAACTTTACAGCGAACATAACAAAAAAAAAAACGACATAATATTAAATTGAAATCTGTTGAATATATTGAAATTTATTGATACGAAAATCAGTTTGTTCAAATATATGAATTCAAGTACATTCTTTTGCAGCTAGAAATTAAGAATTATGACACTGGCATGACAATTTATTCACACTGCAATTTACCTGTTTCTGGGAACAAATGTATCCCATACTGTCTAAAGAACCATTAGCATTTTGGAAAATTACATTTTTTTTATTGCCAATTTTGTTTCTCTCCAAGCTGTAGTTCTACAGATGCTGTTCTCCCTTTAGTAACTCACTCACAGGACCATTCTTCAAGTGTGAGCCTAGACATTGTCGGTACGCAAAAATCAACATGCAAGCTACAATATAGAATACAATTCATATACAAACACACTTCCCAGCAAGAGTCTCTAGACGGCGATTAGGAGCAAGAACAGCGGCGGATTGCTCCCTCTTGGATAAGAGGTACAAATTAGATGGTAAACATGGTAGCCAGTAAGACACACTCCAAGGCACACTGAACTAATACATTATTTACCTCAAGTCAGCTATTGGGAGCTTTGAGATTTCAATAGACTACATGAATGGCGTAATTACTCAATGCGTGATTATATCAGTAAATACTCATTTCAATTCAAGTATTACACCAAGCTAAGCAATGTTATGCTGTATGGTTTTAAGTCAATAATCTCTGCCACATTCTGAGTACTAGTATTTAAATTTATTACAGTTGTATCAGATCAGTGTCCATTAGCATTTTAAAATGAAAATACACACATAAAAATGGACAAAAAAAACAAAACTCAAATAAAAAGTTCACTGGAACATTGTTAGCTTGTCCCCACTTTCTTCAAAATGAACGCTGACTTAGTTGAGCGGGTTAACCATTCCACTGGAAACACTACCACTGTGTTCTGGTTCGCTGCTTCAACAATAAATTCACGAACAGGTTTGTTTTGTTCAAGCCAACAACAGAACGAGCTGTGGCCATCACAGTTTCAGAAACAGCAAGTAAACGAAAGGAAATTTAAAAGGAAATAGCACATATCTAAGCCACACAATATAGATTCTGCATTGAAACAGGAATCACATTAAGAAATCTATTGTTTTCTCCTATCAATATTCAATTTCTCATTTCTAAAATTCCTTGTCGTTTATACAGATTTCTTTCAGTTTTGCATAAATTTAATAGGTAAATGATACATGTTTTCAGATGTAAAGGTACTTCAACAGAAACATTAACACTGCAGATCCTATTTTCCCAACATTTCATCAGTCACTTATAATTCCTCAAGCAATAAGCTCCTTCATTATTTCATTTGTACCACCATAAATCGGCTGAACACGGGAATCCACAAAAGACCTGAAATAAAAAGGTGACATAAGATTCATGGTGTATGATTAATGGGTGCAGATCATAAATCTAAGTAACGGTCATCCACTTGCCAATTCTCCAAACCATTTAAAAACTTCGTATTTATTATCTCCCTCATATTTTACTCCTATTATTGACAGCAATGTTATTTCTAAAAATGATGGAACCATCACTTACCAAATAGATCAGGATATGAATCTATACATGGTTTACCCTTAAAACACATTATAGGAATAAAGGGGGTACTTAACAAAATGTCTGTCAAGAAGTGATGTCATCTGTCTCAGAGGTAATTCACTTTCCTTGGGTATAGCTCAGAGAGCACAGGACAGGGACATCAGACCAAGTCATCGTGCACACTTCCCTTATTACCTTTAGTAACTTTGTCAACCAACATCAGTACATTCGGAATGGAACACTATTTTAATTCCGGCTGGGTTAGTAATGATGTCTTCATTAATACTGCACGTCTAAATTGCTGAATGCTAACAAATATAAATCACCACAAATCCTGAAGTATTCTTTCAAGATAACCTTTTTTTTAAAATCAGGGTTGTAGTTTGAAGCCCATTTCTTTTATTTCATTACAACATGGCTCCCAGATTGCTTTAAATCAGAATTGTCCAACGTATACCTGGCCTGCCAAGTATTCAGAAATAGCTCAAACACCAGTGTCTGACTCACAAGGGTTTGCACTCTGCCTGCACACCAATGGTATTTGACCTGCAAAGCAGTGCTCAAAATACAGGCAAAGGAGTAAAAGATACTGCAATGTGCTGCACCTCCCAACACAGGCTGTTTCTCTCCCACGTATGCTCCTGGTTAATGAGCCTATCAGCATCAAATGCACCAAACAGGCAGTCTGACATTGGAGGACTGCAGAGGAGATTGGTATCATTTTTATTATCTCAGGATGCATTTTGGATGATGTAATCAATGCACATCATGATCCACACAGACACTGCCCTCTTAAAGGACTACAGGAGAGGCAAGAAGGATAGTGTTTGCAGCAGTGTGGCTCAGGCAGTTGGAGTGTTAAACAGTGTTAATCTCCAATCCTCCCAGATCCTGTGGAGGACTGGTTCCAGGGGAAAAGTGTAAGAGAATGAGTGATCATGTTTGTGAAAGAGTAATGGAGAGTTTAAGTGCATGAGTAAATGTTTACACATGAGACAGAGTGAATGAACAAATGTGAGAGCCAGCACAAATACGAATGTGAGAGTGAAAAGTGAGGATGAGAAACAAAATTGGAAATTGGGGATGAGGGTGAGCAAAAGTGGATGTGCATGATAAAGCAAGAATGACAGCGTGTTAGTGTGGGAGTGATGGAATGAATGAGAGTGGAAGAGTGAGAATGAACTCAAGAGACTGGGAGTGAACTGAACACACAAACACACACATTGACCTACATTGGTGAACAGAACTTTTTTTGACTATTAGCAGTATCATGTTATTGAAAAACACCACAAGTGTAGGCACAACATAGTAGCAGTGTGAAATGGCTTGGCTTCAACTGTTGTTCTACATCTAGACCTACGTTACCCTTTGAAGCAACTGCAAATTATCTCATAGATTCAGACTTACTTAGCAATTGGATATTCCCACATGTATCCCCATCCACCATGAAGTTGTACACATTGATTGGCTACATTAGTCTGTTGCTCAGAAGCCCTATAAAAAAAGTTAAATTTATCTTTTATTAATAATATCTTGATACACAGAACTTGAATATTGCTGAAACGAGGGAAAACTCATCTGGACATATGCAAGAATGTCAAATTTTAAACAATCTCAACAATTTATATTGCAGGAGAAGACAGTGTTGAACAGTTAGCAAGTTAAGTGAGGCTTAGGTGAGGCTCTGTGATGCAATGGAGAGTACTTTGGACTTCTATGGATGTACTGGCAGTGCTATTCAAAGGTACTAGGTTCGAATTTCACCAGAAAAACTTTTATTGGCCAAAGCGTTAAAATGGAGTCAGCAACATGGAATTATCAGCTACCCACACTACCAGGTCATTTAAAAAGGTGCAAAGCTTGAAAATATTTCTTTTTTTTTTGCAGAGAACAGATCTCTACACATGAAGGTAATGCACTTCTAGCAAATGTAGATTAGCCAAGTTACGAGTTCAACTGATTATCTTTAATTGGCTCTGAGTGTACTACTAGTGCAATCAGGATTGTTTAGCAAGTGTTGTCCAGTTGGAGAATAACATCTAACACTAGACTTTCTGTAAGGAGAACATGTCCCCATCTACATTAACAGAACTGAGGCTAAGAGGGTGAAAAGCATCAAATTCCTCGGACTGACAATAACCGACCTGTCCTGGACTTCCCATGTAGATGCAATAGTCAAAAAGGCACAACATCTCTTCTTCCACAGGCAGTTCAGGAAATTTGGCATGTCCATAAAATCCCTCACCAACCTCTGCAGGTGCATAATGGCCTGGTATGGCAACTGCTCTGCGCAGTACCATAAGAAACCACAGAAGGTGGTGTGCACAGCCCATACCATCACAGAAGGCAACCTTCCATCCATGGACTCCATTTACATGGTTTGCTGCCATGGAAAGGCTGCCAACATCATCAAAGACCCATCGTACCCCGGTAATGATCTCCTACAACCTCTTCTGTCAGGCAGAAGATACAGAAGCCTGAACAACGCACGAGCAGGTTCAGGAACAGCTTCTTCCCAGCTATTATCAGACTGATGAATAGACTCTCTAACCTCAAATAATGCTGATCTTGCTAACGTTGATCTTGCCTAGCGCATGCCCTGTGCAATGTAACCTGTATGCCTCTAAGTCTTTTTGATCTGTACATCTTTTGCTTACTATGATCTGCCTCTACCGCTCGTAAACAAAGCTCTTCACTGCATTTCGGTACATGTGACAATAAATAAATCAAAAGTGTGATGAAGTACTGTCTGTACTCAAGCAGTTGAAGAAACGTGCCTTTTGATTCAAATCAGCTGATCACAGGACATATAGCCTATGTATCTGGCATTGCACTCACACTGAAATTCATAGATAACATTGTCAAATTGCATGGTAGACATAACTTTATTTTGAATGACAGCAGTATCCTATTATTGGAAAATACCACCTAGAGAAGACAGAATAAAAAGTAGGCCATTTAGGTCAGAATTAAGGAAGAAGCGAGTGATGAATCTTTGGAATACTCAACAGACAGGGCTGTGGAGGGTCAGTCATAGAGTATGTTCAACCAAGAGACTCATCATGTTATAGATATTAAAAGTACCAGAGGATATGGATATAGTGTGGGCAAACGGTTTTAAGGTAAATATCAGCCACAATCCTGTTGAATGGCACAGCAGGCTAAATGCGCCTGCTCCTACTCCCCATTTCTCATATTCTTGTAGGGCCATATTTACGGTGAAGTCCAGATCTTGTCAGCATTATTTTTCTTAGGGGAGGTAACGGCCTAGTGGTATTATTGCTGGATTGTTAATCCAGAGACTTAGCTAACATTCTCGGGACCTGGATTCAAATCCTGCCACGGCAGATGGTGGAATTTGAATCCAATGAAAAATCTGGAATTCAGAGTCTAATGATGACCACTAATCCATTGTCACTTGTTGGAAAAACTCATCCGGTTCACTAATAGTCTTCAGGAAAGCTGACCTAAATGGCCTACTTTTTATTCTATCTTCTCTGGTTTTAGACACCCAGCAAGGAGAAACATCCTTCTTGCATATCCCATGTTGAGCGTGTTAGAATTTTGTATGTCTCAATGAGGTCACTTCCTATTTTTCCTAACTCTAGAGAATTCAGGCCTAGTCTCCTCAATCTGTTGTCATCGGGTAATCCTGTGATCTCAGGAATCAGTTTGATGAACGCTCATTGCACTCCTTCTGTGGCAAGTTTATCCTTCCTTAGGTAAGGATACCAAAACTCTGCACAATGCTTAGATAAATTCTTGCCAAGGTTCCAAACAATTGCAGCAAGACCTCTTTCCTCCTGTACTTAAATCTTCTTGCAAATGCCATCATACCACTTTCCTTCTAATTGTTTGCTGTACCTGCATATTAACTTTCAGTGGTGCATGAACAAGGATACCCAAGTCGCTTCGCACACCAGCACTTCCCAATCTTTGACCATTTAAAAAATTATTTGCATTTTTTTTTTTTGTAAGGTTGAGGATCTGGTCACAAGATGAAGTTGAGATTGACTGTATGAATGGTCCCTCTGAATTTTAAAGATTTAAACATATTGCTAACAAGAGAGACCTGTTGCTGGAGCTTTTCATCTTGCACTCATCTGGACAAATGCAAGGATGCAAGATTTTAAACAATCTCAACATTTTGTACTACAAAGCAGGAAGGTTGGCAAGTTGATTCTGATTGGTGAGGTAATGTCATGGAGAAAGCAACAGGTAACTATAGGCTCCACAAATTAATAGATAATTCAAAAAAGGCTCAAGACATGAAGTATATTCTTTTTGTTGTAGAGTGCAAGACCTTACAATATGGTATATGTTTATCATGTATACAATGTATATCACTTCGAGCAAATTTAATGAGCCTTGTTACGCACTTGACTATTATCTTTAATTAATCATTAATCAATTAATCTTAATCTGCTGGTGCACTCAGGTGTTACCCAATTGTGGAATTACTCTAGAACTAAGTGTTGAAGCATTTAACGCTCCAACTATGCAGTGCCCACATGGGTGGTATTTTCCAATAATAGGATACTGCTGTCATCCTTACCTCGTCAGGCCTACATGCAACTCCAGACCCACAGCAATGTGGTTGATGCTTAACTGCCCTCTGGGCAATTAGGGATAGGCAATAAATGCTGGCCTATAGCTAGCAACACCCTCAGCTCATGAATGAGTTAAATAAATAAATATTCAATTTTTAACATGCATGCTCATAGATGCAGAGTTTTTAGTAATTGGTTTTAAGCAACAGAAAGTCAATGATGAGTAAAGAGAAAACAGCATACAATCAAAATCAATTTCCTGAACCAAATTCCAATTAGGGCAGACAAGGCAGCGGAAAATGTGAAAGCCCAAGAGCAAATTATCTAGTTGGCTTTGTGGTTTATGGTAAAACGAAGGAGATGGAAAACAGAAAGAGGAAAATGGAAACGCAGAGAAGCGCAATGTATAACCTTTGTCTGACAAAAAAAAATCTTCCCTACATTCTAACAAAAAGCTTTCAGTTGAACTTGCTATAAAAATGCATGGTACTGGCCAGACAATTTTTAAGGGGTGCTCTATAGATTTCTCTTCACGCAATGTGGTGGATGATTTTGAATAATCAGCAGTTGCTTTCTCCATGGCATTACCTCACCAGAGTCAACTTGCCAATTAATCAGCACCTTTTTACCCTGCAGTAATCAAAAAAAGTAATCCCAGAAAAATACTTCTTTGTTGCTTCCTTATTTAAGCGAGACGCTGAAGCATATTTAAAAATATGATTAGTCATCTAATTACATAATACAACAAACATTCAGGAGGTGGACTTGTCTTGTGGCTAGTAAACACAGAACTTGCCACTTCCTCACATTTAGTTTCACATATCTTAATAATACAGTTTATACAGTATTGATGTGCATAATCAACTAAATATAACCAACTACATGAAATGAGTTGTGTTACTTTGGACAGCTGAATTTTGTTCCAAGTTCTCACATACCATAGCACAACACTATTTCTGATGTGACATTCATTAGCACTAAAATCAATGACCCCTTTCAAAATTTCACTTGGGAAAAAGTGCAAGAGTTACCTTTTCAGACATTTCAGAGGGAGTGGAGAGCTTTTTTGTGGGTGCGTTATGTTACACTGGAAATGGCAATACTAGATGTTAATCACTGCTTAAACCAAAATTGTTGCATTCACCAGTGTCAATAACACACATCTTAAAAGCAAAATAAAGTAGGAAACTGCAAAGAAGCCAGCTCACTGAAAACTCCAGAATGTTTGTACCTTAAGAAGCCATTTAAAAAAATATCAAGCTGCGAAGAAATTCTGCTTTGCTTCCATTTTGTTTTATTCCATTTCTGTAAATACAGTGAGTGATTTAACTAAAACAAAAGCTGAACAAACTACTGAACCAGAGGAGCTACAGAGCTGACATTAAGGATGACAAAACTGATTTAAAGATTATGAAATTAGCTTAGAATGATGGCAGGCTGCTCCCACACCTTCTCACTAACCTCTCCCAACTACTTAATCCTACGTTACTGACAAATACTTTTAAAAACCTCACTTTATCAGCAATGTATTTAAAGACTTCTTTTCTAAGTCACTGAAACACAAAAGATATAGCTAATAGATAGAGAGGTTCAATAAAGGTTACTGCAGGAAACCTTTTAGGTACAATGACCTTGAGACACTAAAATCTCTCAATGGTTCCATAGTAACAAGATATGAGAGGCCTGTCTGTTTAAACATGCAGCTTTTAATTATTATTTATTGCTGTGCCGTCTTAGCATTTTTCCCTCAATACTATGGGTAAAAATAAAGTCTAAAATAGAGTACTATTTGAAACTTGTTTGAATTACTGGTGTAATTTGCATACAATTCAGATTTCCTTCTATCAACGTGTTGTATTTGCTTGGCCATATTTGACTTCACTTTTCTGTTAACTATCAAAACATCTGCTTTTGCTGAGACTGAGACTGCGAGGAGGAGCTGCA